GAGACGAGAGAGACCGAGACGAGAAGAGACCGAGAAGAGAAAGAAAGAAGAGAAGAGAACAGAAGAAGAAGTACAGAGAGAGAAAGAAAGAGAGAGAAAGAACAGAGAGAGAAAGAACGAAGAAGAAGAGAGAGAGAGACAGAGAGAGAAGAGAGAGAAAGAGAACATGAGAAAGCAGAGAAAGAAGAAAGAAAGAACAGAGAAAGAGACCAGAGAAAAGACAAGAAAGAGAAGAGAACAAAAGACAGAGAAAAGAAGAGAGAGGAGACAGAAGAAGAGAGACAGAAGAGAGACGAGAGAGCGAGACGAAAGGGAAGAGACAGAAGGAGACAGAGAGACGAGAGACAAACAGCAGACAGAGACAGAGGAGAGACAGAGAGAGACAGAGAGAGAGACAGAGAGAGGACAGAGAAGAGACAAGAGAAGAGAGACAGAGAGACCAGAGACAGAAGACAGAGACAGAGAGACACACAGGAGAGAGACAGAGAGAAGACAGAGAGAGAGACAGAGAGAAGACAGATACATTTATTTACGATGAAAACCAAGAAAGGGAACTTGAAGAAAGCCCAAAATTCATAACAGGAGGATCAGGGAGTGATGGCTCAGTGGCCATGCTCAGACAGACAGGCAGGATGAGGAGGAAGGACAGGCCTTTCAGCCACCCACCGTGTGACCCTCAACAGCTCTCAGCCCACGTTGGTGGGTCCACTCTCTGCAAGAACTTGGATTAAAAAAAAAAAAAAGTTTGGTCTGACATTTCGCTAGAAGTGTTGTTACGAGCAATTACTTCTCTTCACAAATTGTGTCTAAAGAAAATATACAAGAGAGAAGCTAAAAACAAAACAAAGTTTTTTTTTTTTACCCTCCCTTGATAAATTGAGTAATAGCCTAAGAAAATTTCTCTGATGTGGGTCAGCCTGTCTCAAAAAAAAAAAACCAGTCACTACAGCCCAGTCTAATCCGTAATTCCACGTGATCCTCTCAAGTGACCAGAAAGTTCCAAGGGGGTATATGTAATTCAAGAAACCCCTGCTAGCTAACAAGCCCCTCCACAGCAGCAGAGCCTCGTTTCTTTCTGCCTGCCATGGACTAAGGTCATTTAACTTCAGCCCTTTTATGAATGGAAATCGGTTTTCTAAAGACTACTTGGCAGGCAGTGACCAGCAACAGACAACTCCATGACTGAGCTTTCTGAGTCATAAAATACTTTTTGAAAAGGGGAGATCAAAGTGTCCCTACCGCCTATTGAAACCCAATTGCTTCCAAAGTTCCTTGCGGGGACCCAGGCTCTCTGGAGAATGGGTCACTGCAGTCATAGTCTAAAAAAAAGGCCACCACTAAAGAAAGATACAATGAGGACATTAGGGCAGCCAGCCATAGAGGAGAAACGCCACTTACGGCTTGATTGTTGGGGACAAAGGAAAGAGAAACGAAGGGAAACGAAGTGACAAAATTGGACTGGCTCATCAGGAATTGAGGCTAGAAGGGGGTTCCCTTGGCAGCCTTGATCCTGGTACACATTCTACTCAGAGCCTCTGCTGCTGAGCCTGGAGGGTGATCAGACACCAGGCAGATGACCCAAAACTAGCAGCAAAGCAGTCTGCCACTCCTGCTAGCTGGGCCTTTGCTGACATTATCAAAGGTAAACTCACCCATGCTTTATAGAGTTGGGCAGAAATGCAAGATGAGCGACAGCGGTCGCTTGTCTTTTCACTTGATCTTCCCATAGAATGGAGCTTGGTTTAGAGTTTCTTAAGCAAGGGGTACATTTACTTCCCCAACTGGGATATAAATCATGTACCAATCAAGAGCAAATAATCTTAGACCTAGCAATTGCTCTTCTATGGTGAATGACAGAACCCTGGTACAAGATGTTGATCAAAGCATGGTTTAAAAATAGGAGGAGGGGTCAAATCTGTATCCTACCTCTTAGACCTTTGCAATAACATTAAAACATTAGGTATCAAATGCTTCATAGTAAAGATGTTTAACTTCCTTTAAACCTCTTAAGTTTTCCTAATATATAAAACCACGAAACCCTTTTATTTCTAGAGCATCTTTTAACAGTTAGAAATCAATACATAGTATAATAGTATTCCTTTAGGGAATCCTTACTTTAGTGCTTTTCATGTCACCACCAAACTATAAAGAGATGTTCCTTGAAAAAAAAAATGCCATGACCGACAAGTTAGGGAAACTCTAGGTTTAAACAGAGTAAAACAAATGTCTTTAATGTAGAATGTTTCTGACTTATAAAAATGCAAATAAGCACCATAAAGCTCTGAGAGGTCACACTAATTTGACTAGTCCTCCCCACTTTTCCAAGACCATGTCCTGTGAGCCCCCCTACCCAGAATTCTATAGCATCACAGCTTGGTTTACAATAAAATGGCAATTTTCATATCTGAAATGACTGCTCCACATTCTCCCCTATATTGTAAACTCTATGCCTTGGTTCCAGCTTCGTCCAATTGCACTCTGAACAGTGCCTGACACAACAGAGGTTGATAAATAGCGGTTGAATGAAAGAATGATGACTCAATGTATCTTTCCAGTAAGTTCCAAAAATACAAGCATTTCCACTAAGTGGTTCTCGAATGTTAGTGTGCATCAGAATCATCTGGAGAACCAAAAATACCCATTACTGGGTTTAGCCTCCCTGAGCTTCTGCTATGGGTTAAAGGAATCCATGTATTTGCTACTTCAAATGAAGCAAAGGTAGTTGATCACACTCTGCAAAATCATGATCCTACCAAAATGGATCACCAAGGTTCAGTATTTTTGAGCAAACTAGTTTCTTTGATCTCTTAGTACATAAGAATAAAAGATACGGGTTTGTTCAGATGGGAAACAAAATTAAGGAATACAGATGAAAATCATAAGAAAATTGGAAGCTTCAAGTGAGAAGTTTCATCTCCTATCTCATTCATCTCACTCCAGTCTCTGTATTCATGGAAGAATGGCTGCCCGTCTTTCCTGGCATCTAAACTTTGATGAGTCCCTCCAACAAGCATGATAGAGACAGGTTCCTCCCCTGAACTCTTGAACCATCCACTATTCTGAATCCATTACTGTAGATGCTAATTAATTCTAGAGGAGCTATGACTCAACTGCTTGGCAAAAGAAGCTGAGCAGCTTCTCTGAGTAGCTAGAAGGAGGAAGAAATTTCTCTTCCTGACTTGGTTATCTCTCAATGTCCTTCATGAAATGTCCCTGTCAAGTGATCTCACAGGACTCACTCTTTCTATTGGATAGCTTTTCCTAAGCAAATAAATACACTGTTAAGAGATTCACAGACATCATAACAAAGATGTTAAGCTGGCAAAGGTAATTTTTGCTCAGAAGGCTTGTTCCTCTTTATAAAGAAAGGAAAAACCACCACGGTTTAGGCTACACACATTTTACTATATCTTGTCCATAGATGATATAGATAGATCACAAAAGAGGATTTAAAAAATGGCCAGTAAGCTTAAGAAAGGGTATTCAAATTTATTTACCAACAGAACAATTCAAACTAAACCCATAATATGGCACTATTATAGTACTTCACACCCATCAATTAGAATAGCTAAAACAGAAAATACAGACAATGCCAAGTGTTGGTGAGAATGTGGAACAACTAGAACTCTTCAACACTAGAAAGAAGTATAAATTACTACCACCACTTTGAAAAGCTGCTTGGTAATACTTACTACACAGCTGAACATATGCAAGTTGAGTATCCACAATCCAAAAATTTGAAATCCAAAAAGCTCCAAAATCTAACTTTTTGAGCACCAACATGATGTCCAAAAGAAGTACTCATTGGAGCATTTCAGATTTTTTAATTAGAGATGCTCAACCAGTATGTATTCAGCAAACAGTCCAATATATGAAACAATTCTAGACCTAGGCATTTTGGATAAGGGATACTCAACCTGTATACAATCCCACGACTCAGCAACTTCATTCTTAGGCACGTATTCAACAGAATGTGTAAGTTCACCAAGAGCATATGTGAGAATACTCAGCAGTGTTGTTCATAATAGCCCCACACTGAGAACAATTTGACAATCAACAACTAGATGGTAATAATATGGACTCTTCATACAAATACTTTACAATTCTACTTATGTAAAATTTTGAAGTAGGCAAAATTAAACTATGTAAAAAGTTAAGATAGTGGTCACGCCTGCTGGGTGGTGATAGAGAAGGAGACAAAGAGGGTATTCTGAGGTTCCTGCTTGACAGGACTGGTGGTTACATGGGTACAGACGTCGTGAAAATTTATTACTGCACTGTACTCTTACAGTTTTCTCATTTTTCTGTATGTACTTCAACACAAGGCCACAAAAATTAATACAGAGCAGTGTCTCAGCTTGTGAGTTGTGACTCTGTCCTCTCTGCTTTGTTTCTTCATGTCTTATTGAGCATGAATATGTTTGTGTTTTGCAGTTTGTTGGGCACATGGAGCGGGCAACAGAACAGAAATAAGCTTGAATCTCTCTCTACCCCTTCCCAAGTGGGCCCTGGCAGGGTCAACTTATCTGGATAATTAGCATCAGACACTTGGAGATGATCATGACGATCAGAAATCATCTTCCCTGGTTTATGAGAGCAAGGTAAGACTGAGACAGGTAAAGTCAATTAGCTAAGGACACAGACCTGGTTTGTTGAAATGTAGGGACCACCTGTGTCTCTATTAGCCCTGTTTACGACGGCTTCAGACTCAGGTGGGTCAGGCTGTCAATTACTTCTTTCATACCCATCCTAAAGATGGGATTTTTAGCCTACTGCATCCTTATGTGTTAATAATTTGCTCCCTTTTGAATAATTGTTCACAAGTGAATCTCTCTTCTGTAGAAGAAATAACCCAACATCTATTAACATGAGACAATGGACCATATTTCCTGTCACAGAGAATAAAATCCTGAGAGTGCCGACCATGGGAGAGGCTAAGTATTGCTGGAAATAGAACAACTACAGAGCAATTGTCCCCCATCAGGAACTACTGTGGCACTTTCCCTGTAAGAAGTCACTTAATCATCACAGCCCTGTTATGTAAACTCTGTTATTGCCATTTTAGAGGTGAAGAAACTAAGGCACTTAAAATTAAGTAACTTGTCTGAGATCCTACTAGTAAGTGCTGGTATGAGAATTAGAACCTAGGCAGACTGCTTTTAACCACCAATATGTGGAATGAGAGAGTTTAAGCCATTATGGTGGGGTTGGGGGTGCCTGAAATCCTTTCTGAAGACTTTAGGATGCTGGAATAGACAGGACCGAGAGAGAGAAATACAGGGGGCAATGCCAACCACAACAAAAAAAGATCAAGAGATTCACCGCAACAAAACAAACCAAAAAACCAAGATATACTCATGTGCCTATGCACACATACGTGTGGGTAACCATGTTATAATATACCGGTCATTAGCGAGCCACATTCATGATTTCAATGGATCCAGTTTAGTTGGGAATTGTTAAATCTTCACTTCACTCTATACTTTAAGTAGACCAAAGAACATCGGGATTGTAGTTATGATGAAAGGTTTTAACTAAATTTCAGGCTATAATGTGGAAAAAAAAAAGTTAAGAAATAACTGAAAGTTTCGACTAACAAAGAACACGTGAGTCTGCATTCGCCCACACCTAAACTGCCCCCTCTTGCTTTGTGTGGTCATGCACTGTGTACCTCACTACACCTTCAGTTGGGTTTTCTCACATTTCCCTTCTTTGGGCCATGCCTGAGCATAATGGCCATGTGTACCAACACACACATACTCTTCTGTCAGTCCAAGACACTTCTCAATTGCAACGCAGAACGAAATCAACCCAGGACAACAGTGACTGCCTCATATATTTGATTGAATCTTGAGACAAGTTATCGTTTACACCGATATTCTTGGCCTGGTGTGCTCAACAGATGAGGATTACACAGAGAAGAAATAACACTTGTCCCAAATGCTTTTAAATGCTCGGCCTCTCTGGATGCCATCACTCAATCCTGCCAGCTCAAGGACACCCCACCCCACCTTCTAAAGGCCCATCTTCTGCAAGCAGGACACCACCAACAGATTAGTCAGAAGAAAACAAAAGACCTTCCTTCAGTCAACTGAAGGCTGATCTTACCAGGGCTGCCGAGTGCAAGTTCGCATTGAAATACAGTTTTCCCATTTCAAAGCGAAGTAGACGCATGCAGCTTGTTAGATTTATAGAATGCCTGGGTCTCCCAAGACTTCACAAAGCGAATGGCATCCATCAAATTAATTTCCTTCGGGATCGTCTCAAACATGGAGAATGAAAAGGCCCAGACCATTAAACATCAAAAGAATGTTCTAAATGGTAATTAAAGTTCTACTCTAGTATTTTTTTTTTCTGGGAACAGATTAGATTAATTCAATTGAGAATATTATAAGTATCAAAGCTGACAGTGTGAATGTGTGGAGTTGGCTAGGACAGCACTTTACATTGCAGACATCTGTTCATTCAAAGTTATACAAAACACGAAAGGAGGAGTTCAACTCGGACTGGGGTGTACTTACCAAGCCTGCACACGTAGACACAGCGACAGAGGAGGAGCTGTCATTTCTGATGAATCCCTGATAGAAACACCGTTGCACCTCGGGTTCCCGAGTCTCTGAAGCACCATCTTTTCCAAGTACCTGGACAATAAAGTGACTGCTCAAAATCGCCGAGGGCTTAAGTTCTAAGTGTAGTTCCTGTCCAAATGCTGAAAATCGGTAGTGCAGGGAGCTCCTGGCACCCTGCGCTGATCGCTTTTTCCTGCCGTTGTGCAAAATGTCGTGTGAAATGTATGACCCGCCTGAGTCCACTTCTACTGGAGTGACAAAGACGTAATCTGCAATGGGAAGAGTTCAGCTGTCAGCACCCGGAGCCCGCAATTCCAAACGGTCACTTTCCAACAGGCTGGCAAAGCGTAACGCACAGCTAGCTCAAAGATATCTTCGTTCCTATTGCCAAGCACACCTAGATCAAATATAATAATTCAGGGCAGCTGGTGAAGAGGGGGACCCTTCAAGCCTCAACAATGAGCTCTCCCACAGTCATTCCTCCAGAAACTGAAAGCCAAGCACAATTTTGATGAATTTCAAGAATGTGGGAAATGTCACACCTGTAACAGTCCGGGGGGGACACAGACTTTTTAAATATTGGCCATGGAGTTATCCATATGTAAAAAATTTTTGGAGACAAAATTCATACATACAACACCGCAAGGCATTTGTATAATACATGGCAATTTTTCTCCGAGGAGATTAATTTCTTCGTGATTAAACTCAATTATGAGCGTTTTTGGCAGCGTTTAAATTTCGAATGCTAACTCAGGGTTGGGGAGCTTCACATGATACCTCAAGATCATTAACAAGCGACAGCAGTTTCAAATTTCCAATACTCCTTCTGTGTGATCATAAAACGCCAGCATTGGTGTCACCCTTAACATTTTACTATGCGCGTTCACAGGGACGGTCCCATTTAATGGCAAGCAGAAAATACAGTATATGCATAAAAATGTCTCAAAATTGTCAGAACCTTCCTAAATGGTCTGATGTGTAAAACTGCTCAGACACGTTGATTTGGGGGAGTGTCGGAGCAGGGACACCTGGAAAGGCATGTTTCAAAATACCTTCCCCACTGCTCCCTAGAGCAGCACTAATTGCTGCATGTCTTAGAGAGGAGCTTAAAAAAAACAACAAAAAACCCCCACAATTTGCTGTTTGAAAAGCAAAGCCAGCACACTGTTTTCTTTCACTAAACACTGACACTGAAAAGCATCATCCCACAAAATGGTTTGAAAAATGCCCTCTGCGCCTGAAAAAAAAAATACTCTGCATTTCTGCTTTCAAGGCACAGAATGGGAAACTAATTTGGAAAGTGCTTAGGAAGAGTTTGACTAACAGACATGTTCAAGTCAGGTGGGTCTTTGGTTACTGGAGGAAAAAAAAAAATTCCCTTTTCCCAAAATAGTCAGCAAGCCCCAGCCCCCAACAACAAAAAAACTTAAAAAAAAAAAATCCCTAAGGAATGGAAGTATGGAAGCCCTGTAGCTAGCAGGGATCAAGGAGTGATAGTCTAATTAGGTTCACATTTGGGGGGAAAAATCCAATATGACAATATATTCCAATTATTTTCTTCTGTGTACGAACCATCTGTGGCTCTTTCATTGCTTGGATATCTCTCATTCTTATATTCTTTACACCCTGCCATTTTCTCCTCTCTCTTCTAAAAATGCTATATAATCGTCACAGGTTTAAAAAATAATTGAGGAAAAACAAAGATTTTTTCCCCCTCTCTTAATCTTGAGAGCCTCAGCCAGAAATGCAACATTTCTCTTAAAAATCTCTGAAATGTTGCTTTACATACTGTTGTTTCATATATTGTTTTATGTATTGACTTGCCAGGTATATGATGAAATGCAGGGGGTTTTTTTGTACAGAAAAACCCACCTCCTCCTCCTAACAGAATGAAAACTTAACAGCAGAGGGTTTCTGACCTCCTCATCCCAAATCACCGGAAACTCTGCTCACCTGCGGGAGCCTTAGCCAGCCAGCCTTTCCTGCAATCAGCCAGAACAGCGCCCCCAGACACCTGCTACTAGCTTGTTTCCAAGCGGAGAATGAGCCGGCTCAGGGTTAATTTGGTCCCTGGTAGGAAGAGGGGCAGTTGAGTCCCCTGTCAAGAGCGATCTGATGATCACTTCAGGAGCTAAGGATGGGGTAACTTGCAGGTGGTGTCTGACACACAAGGGACCTCTAGTCATTTCATCCTCATGGAGCATGAGGGCTGGTTTTAGAAACTGCAAGCCTCTCTGGTTGCACAAAAAGTGACTCCCTTTCTCCACCACTGCACTATGCCCCAGTCTCCAATATGGCCCCTGGCAAAGAAGGCGACAACCCTGTAAAACTTAAAAAAAAAATTTACAGAATCCCAAGGGATCCAGACTGGACAGCAAGGTTTTGCTAGACGCTTTGGGTCAGGAATCAGCTGATCTCCTATAGCTGGTGGGAAACAGTACTGAAAACAAGGATTTTGCTTCTGGGAAGTTAATAAATGACTAAAGTGAAGTCTGTGGCCGGGGAATGTCAGATGAGATAAAATACTCAGAGACCTCCAAAGCGACCTGCTTTCCTCTCTCTAAAAGCAGTCTTCGCGCATCCATGACACAGGGAAAACGAAGAGGAGAGAATAAAAGAAAGAAAGAAAAAGGAACAGCAGTCGAGAGGAGAGTGAGGAGGGAAAGCGGAGGGAGGAAAGGGGCTCACGTGCTCTCAGCACTAAGAACCAGTTTCCGTGGCTTTCCTGGGAGAGGAAGGGGCCTTTCGATTAACCCCTAGTCAGAGTCCACTTCCCTTCCAATTTCTCACCGCAGTTTTTCTCTGAAGCCACCTGTGAAGGAGGTAAAGTATTTTCTCCTGTGACTTGCAGCCTGAGGCACTGATTCTTCCGATAATCCTTGCCACATTCCCCCTCTGGAACCAGGAACCATTTCCAACACAGCACACACCTGCCAGGTTGGGGGGTGCGCTTTTCTATTTTTCCCCCTTTCGGGAGAGAAAGGGACAAAGTGCCTGGAGAGGCCCTTCCTGGGGGTGCGGGGCAAATACGAACCGTCATTTAATCCGCTGGCGCCGCCGCTGCTGTCACTGGCTAAGGCCGCGGCGACGGACGCACAGCAGATGCAGCACAGCTGGAGCGCCTGCAAGAGAAAAGGGGACATCGCGCGTGAGCGGCGCGGCGGGGCTGGCGTGGGGCGCCCCCTGCCACCCGCTCTCGGCGCACCCCTCGGTGGCACCTGCCTTGGCCACGCGCCCCAGTCCCGCCGGGCCCCACGGCGGGCCCGACCCCGCGGCCGGGAGGGCGCACGCGAGCAGGAGGGCGCACTCCATGGTCAGGTGCGGGCGCGGCGGCTGCGGGGGGCCGGACGCGGCGGGCGGAGCGCGCGGGCTGCGCACATTCTCCCCGCGGCCCCGGAGCGCGGCGCCCCAGGTGCGGCGCCAGGTGGGAGCCGCCGCCGTTCACATCGCAGGGGGCGCGCGCCGGGGCCCCCCTCCTCCTCCGGCCGCCCGCCCGCCCGCGCGCCCTCCCTTCTGCCGGCGCGGGCGTGCGGAGCTGCAGCCTGCGGCGCTCGGGGGAGGGCGCAGGGGGCTCCCCGGGCCGGGGCTGGAGCGCAAACGGCTGGGGGACTCTGTCCGTGCCTGCCCGCCCGCCTGCCCGCCAGTCTGTGCGTCTGTCTGTGTCGGTGCGGGCGTCTGAGGCTCCCGGGGCAGGCAGCGCCAGCTGGCTCCCCAGCGCGCCCGAGCCGAGCGCCCGCCTCTCCTCCGCGCGGTGATTGGTGACCAGCGGCTCCCGGGCTCGTCCGAGCCCCCGGGCTGGTGCAAGGGCGTGGGATTCCCGGCTCCGGCTCCCAGGGAGGGGGCGAAGGGGGGGGGAGGCCGGGTAGGAGTGAGGGGGAGGTTGGGACCGACCGCCCAGAGAGGGAAGGGAGCGCCCTGGGTCAGGCTGGGGAAACGTAACTTAAGCGCACCGAGAGATGAGCTGAGAAGCAGGCAGGCTCAGGTAAGTGGCGCGACTTCTTGCGCAGCCTGTGCAGACTTCTCTCCCGTACACGTCCTCTGGCGAGAGAGTCAAGACGTTTAGCGTCCCCAGCACCCCCTAAGTGCCAGGAGCCCTGCTTGATTTATCTCATGTACCTCGGGCCCTATACTTAGAAGGTGGGAATTATTAACCCCTTGATTAAGATGAGGAAAAGGATGTTCACATGTGCCCAAGACACTCTAGCTACCCAGAGACTCAGCAAATCTAGGGCAGCCTGGATCGCAGGCTAGATCTCTCTTCCCAGGCTGACCATGCTTCCAACTCTTCAAGATTGAATCTTAGGCCCAGATACCCAAACCTGCAGAAATCAGCCGTGGCAAACGGTGCTCCCCGCCCCCGTGAACGGGCATCCGGTTTGCTGCGTGCCTGTTCACTTACTCGGGACGTTTGGGCGAGCCTTTGATGCCTGTTTGCCGGGATGAACAAAATACGTTCTTCTGGGCCAGTGGGAAAGACCCTCACTGGATAACTGAACCACAGTAAAGGAACCCAAATGAACACAATGCTATAAAGGGAAAGAATAGCCCCTGAATGAGAAAGACAAAAGCAGAAGCCAATACAGAGGGGACAGGAAATAAGGGAGGCTCGTGCGTGTATACACGTGTAAGGCATCTCTCAGGATCTGACCCTTAAAATAAGGCCAAGAGAGAGCGATCTGGTTTTATAAGGGAAGGGGGGAGCCGGGCTCACATACTGCATGTTAGGAAAGGGGGCGCAGCAGAAGTGAAGGTCTCGAAGTAGGGAGACCTACTTTGCCACTGTTGAAAGAGTTATAGACCAGAGGAAAAGGCAGAGAAAGGTTGCTGGGTCAGCAGGACCTTGTAGGCTGGGGTGAAGCATGTTGGAAACTGTTAGATGTGTGTTTGTGTGAGTGTGTGTGTCAATATCATCTTCAATAAAAAAACAACATGGATCCTTTTTGAGTTTATGGATTGGAGGCATCAAAGCAGGGCCAGAGAGGAACAAACAGGTCAGGCAGCTGTTGTCAGCACCAGGGAAACAATGACAGTGTCTTGCACCAGGTGGTGACAGTGGAGGTAGCCATGTTACCCTGCTCAGCCCTAAAGGTAAGAAGAGAGTTAAAATGTGGTCCATTTCAGGCTTAGAATAAGTGGCGGCAGTGAGGGGTAAACCTAGGCTGTAGAGAAAGTGATATATCTGCCTACAGGGACTGAGGAAAGGCCTCACAGTGAGAAAATCAGGGTTATACAAATTACATGGGTTTCCCTAAGTAATCTGCTTAAGCTCTGTGGCCTCTCTTTTATAATCTGTAAAATAGGAATCAACACAATACATCAAAAGGACAGCTTGAGGATTACATGAATATGTCTTTTCAAGCACTTTGTAAGTGGGCTTTAAAAGTAAGAGCAGATGATGCTGTGTTTCTTTTACTTTATACATCGTATGTCAAACTGTAACGTGCACCAAAATCACCTGTGCTGCCGGTTTAACATGCAGATTTTTGGGCCGTTAAAGCTCTTAAAATTCTGATTCAAGAGACTTGGTTTACGCCCCAAATACACATTTGCAGCAAGCACCTGTGTGTCATCCTGATGCTACGATATAAGTGCTTTATGTGATTTCAGTGAAGAACTGGACACTGAAGGAAACTGGAGATCAAAGATGTGCAGTAAAACAGTGTTCAAGGTCATGTCACTGAGCAACAGACTGAATTAAAAAAGAGACTGGGACAGACAGCACTGTCAGTCACATCACCAGATAAGCATGAAACTGGAGGGGCAAAGGGTTTGTCCACACTCAGCAGGAAACCACCATGTCCCGGATTTGTGTCTCCCCATTGAGATACATTTGCATTAAGTGATGCATATTCCTCTGGTCTTCTCTTTTATGGCCAAAAATATAGGTTATTCACCATGGTCAGGGCCAGAGTCTCAGAGGGGCACAGAGTCTTACCTGTGCTCTGTGCTAGATTGTAGAGTCTGTCAACTTCAGCATTGCTGACAATTTGGGGCTGGATAATTGTTTGTGGTGGGGCTGTTCCTGTGCATTATAAACATAGGATGTTAAGCAGCATCTCTAGCTCACTAGCAGTAGCCAGTAGCACCCCCACCCCCAAATTGTGACAAAATGTTGTAAGATTTCCAGATGTTCCCTGGGGGATAAAATTGCCCCAGCTGAGAACCTGGATGAATAACACAGATCCCAGTCCTGTGACATTTTTCTCCATCAGCATGGAGCCTCGTAGCGTCTCATTCTACTGGACACATATTTGCTGAGTACCCACCCTCTGAGGGACAGGAGGCCTCCTCTTGAACCTAATATAAGTGATTTGTCCACCACTGATTTTCCAGCTCTTTCCCCATATCTCGGTAAATCTTTGCTCTCTATAAATTCCAGTCCTCCATGGTTTGGTGCAGAAACTGAGACTCATTTCTTACATAGTCATAGATCTAGAGATTAAAACTTCCAATTCCGTTCATTTGCAGATGACAGGGCCCAATCTCTTCTGCAGGACTGATACACAACATTTGCAATACCATAACTTGTGGGATGATTTCATACCTTCAATTTTCCAGGAACTGGCCCTACAATATGTATGACTTGTCTCTAGATGGTGATAGAGATTTGTAAGCACATGGTCCAGCCTTGGAAATGTAAATTACAAAGTAGCACTCACTTTGGAAATAGAACTCTAAGCTGATTTTAAAATGGTAACTCTAAGAAACTATAATGACTATCTGAACTTCATCATACACCAATGGGGTAGGGGAGGAATTACTGATGTGTTGTCTTTTGTCATACTTAGCCTAGAACCTGATGCATAGCAGTCATTCATAAGTGTGTGTAAGAAGGAAAGAGGAAGGGAAGGAGGGAGGGAGGGAATGGTGGGAAAATTTGAGACAGAAAGAGAGATCACACTGTTTCACTTTTAGCCACTAAAGAGCTTTCCTCCTTTTCACTCCTTTAAAATCAATGGTACAATTCTAGGCATTGGTTTTCTTTCTTTTTCCACTGTCAAAATCGTAACCTTTTTTTTTTTTTTCCTTCCAAAGTAATATGCTTTAAGTCATGTATCTCCTCCTGGCCAGATCAAGAAATAAATGGCAAACTCTGTTATTTACTCACTTTTCCCTTTGTCCTTGATCCATGAAGATGCAAACATCCCTCAGTGGAAAGTAGGAAACATTAACTACCTCTCCCAGCACAGTTGACTTTCTGTGCTACAACCGACTCCTTATTTCCTCGTCTCCTTTCCAGGCAGAGAGTGGAGGGACGACGCTACCACTATTCTAGCTTCTCAAAGCTTCATCAGATAGTGTGTCGAGTTTTATTGAACAAGTATCTCTGTTTCCTGTAGAAAGTATTTTCCTGTCCAAAGAGACAGATGTCCAAAGTCATACATCCAAACCTAGAAGAGGGTAATATAGAAATAGGACGCCGGGAGAAAATATTTGCACGCTATGTATCTGCTAAAGGGCTAATAACCAGAATCTACAAAGAACTCAAGCAAATCAGTGAGAAAAAAATTCAAACCACCCTATTAAAAAGTGGGCAAAAGACATGGACAGAAGCTTCTCGAAAGAAAATAGACTAATGACCAATAAACATATGAAAAAATGCTCAATGTATCTACTCATCAGGGAAATGCAAATCAAAACCATAATGAGATTTCACCTAACTCCAGTGAGAATGGCTTTTATCAGAAAGTCCCCAAACAACAGATGCTGGTGTGGATGCAGAGAGAAAGGAACACTCCTACACTGTTAGTGGGACTGAAAACTAGTATAACCTCTATAGAAAGTAGTATGGCGATACCTCAAAGAACTAAAAGTAGACCTACCATTTGATCCAGCAATGCCACTATTGGGTATTTACTCAAAGGAAAAAAATGTCATTTTACCAAAAAGACATTTGTATTCTAACATGTATTGCAGCACAATTCACAGTCACAAAGATGTCGAATCAACCCAAGTGTCCATCAGTACATGAGTAGATTAGTAAAAGGTGATATATGTATACCATGGAGTACTACTCAGCCATAAAAAATGGTGAACTAATACCTTTTGTAACAACCTGGATGAAATTGGAGACCATTCTTTTAAGTGAAGTATCACACGAATGGAAAAACAAACACAACATGTACTCACTATTAAATTAGAACTAATCAATCAACACTCATGTGCACAATATGGTAGTAAACTCAATGGAAATCAAGCAGGTGGGAAGGGGGAGAAGGGGATGGACACATTCACATCTAATGGGTACAATGCACATGATCTGGGTGATGGATGCACTTATAATTTTGATCCAAATGGTAAAAAAGCAATTCATGTAACCAAAATGTTTGTACCCCTGTAATATATTCTGAAATAGAAAAAAATTTAAAAAAAAACAAGCAAAAGAAAGAAACAGAAAACAACGCTGAACTTATTTCAAGAAAAAAATAAAGAGATGGAAATGGCTTCACCTCCTTGAAGAACCGAGAGATAAGGCTATTTCTAGTCCATGTCTCAGAAATGAGGTCCAGTTAGGTGGACAGTAGGGGAGGAGAAGAGAATATATCAGCAGGTTCTAGCTCTTTCTGTGTTTTCTAGAGATAACCATCATGAAAGACAAGGAGCTTACCATGCAAAATGATGAAATTCAAACAAGTGGCAGGCAACCTTTTATTTATTTATTAGCGACAATATGGGA